ATGACGATCAGTTCTAGTTGGAAGTGAAATTGATATCATGGTTAGAATAAATTTGTCCTGATCTATTTTGTTTATTAGGTCTGAAAGATTTTTCCTGAATGCATATACCTCCTCAACAGATAGTTCATAAATTTTACAACCAGCATTTTGGTTATTTTCTTTGTGACCACAGTTTTTTAAAAATATCCAATTTGAAGTTATACAGTTTTTTATCATTTGTTTTTCTTTTCTTTTGTTAGTCTTTGTTTGTTTCCTACCATTTAACACTGTTTTAACGGGTTCTTGATACTCTGGATTAGAACTAAGCATTGACATTTTTTCTGGTGTTGACTCCACACTAACAGGTTCTACCAGGGGTTCGTCATAATTAATACCTACTTTTTGAAGGGATTTTTCTATAACTGAATTATTGGTACTAAAAACTGGGGTCTGATCAACATTTTCAATATCCTGGATAACTATATTCTAAGGAACTTCTATCAAAACATCAGGATTGTAAGCAGATTCATGAAATTTTTCAGGAGAAGAATCCAACATTACAATATTTGCATCATTTAAATCTAATATGTTAAGTTCCTAAACAAACAATTTTCATAGCCAATATATTCCAAAATAATTATTATTAAAAGAATTCTTACATTGTCCTGTTCCATAGAATTATGAAGATTTTGTTCAGAAGTTAACCAAGCTCTTACTTTTTCCTATTTATTAATGAAAAAATAGATTTATAAATATAACTAGTACTTTAACTACCTATAACTATAACTAGTATTTTAGTATTTTACCTCACTGTTGTTTATAATCATTTGACTAACAGTAGTACTGGGTTTATCATACTCAAGTTGTCTGTATACATTTTTCTAAAAGAGTATTAATTAATAAGATGTTAAAGTAAGTATATTAATAGTTATATTATTGAAGTGATTATCCTAGGTATATTAAATATAAGGGTATATTCAAATGTATTTACATAAGGTATATAGTTTAATAAAATTAATATCTTAGTATTATACCTCACTGTTGTTTTTAACCATTTGACTAACTGTAGTAGTACTGGGCTTATCATACTGAAGTTGTCTGTAGACATTTTTCTAAAAGAAAATATTAAATGAAATGATAAAATAAATATGAATAGGTACCTTCATTAAGAAAAAAACTGTATGCTGGGTTTACATTATTAAATAAAGACACATAGTTTGAGTAAAGTATCTCACTTAACAGGAACATTATATTACTTATAATTTATTATTATTGTATCTAGCTTATAGGTACTTACTTCTTGAGCAGCTTTTAATATTTTAATTGTTCTATTCATATTTTTATAATAAAATAAAACTTAAAACAGCAAAATATAATATGTAAAAACAAAATATGAAAAATAATTGTGTGTTGTGTAATCATGAAAATTTGATCATTAAACCAGACTTGTAATCAGTTATCCTTATCACATACCTACTACACATCACGATTTAAGATAGTATGGTTGCCCATCGACTACAGTAAAATGGCTTATCCGACGACCGTCAATATGAATCTAGCAATCAGCTGTTTTTAAAACTATAGCGCTTTAGCGGAGAAAATTAAAACTATGCTGACTACTTTTACCGCCTAAAATTGTATACTTGAATTATACTCTAAGATGGCAGAACTGATATTATATAATTAATATAATAATACTTTAAACAGTCTAAACGTCATATTAATTATCATTTGATATTTTACTATGTTGATATAATACAGGGTGATTCTTTTATCATTGAACACTCATTATTTCAAAAAGTATTAATGTTTAAGAAAATATTTTTTTGCATAGTTTCAAGTTATTAAAAAACAATATTTTTATTAAAAAAATTATATTTTTAAATATTTTTTATCCTTTTAATTTTTTAAGTTTTTTACTTTTTTGAATGACAACATGTAATTTTAATTTGATATTCAAAAACAGAATATTTTTCTGAGTATTTCGATACATAAAAATTGAATTTAGGGCAATTAGTTTATGAGTTATAAGTATTTAAAGTTTTGATGAGCGGAGATGAGTGGTACGGGGTTACCCCGCGAAATGTTTGTCCACTACTCCGCTCATCTAAACTTTAAATACTTATAACCAGGGTTCGGGACTTATAGCACTTAAAATCATCAAAATAAGCGCTTGAAAAAGCACTTAAAAACATGATTATAAGCACTAAAATAGCACTTAAAATTTTAAAAAATCACGAAAAAACTATAAACGCAATTTTTCTTTATTACATTATTTTAACACTTTAAATCAAAAAAAAAAAAATATGTTACAAATATCAAATCTTTTTGAGTAGGTTAGGTACTTCTTATAGATTTTCTGAAAAATAAATAAATTTTTTTTAAGAATAACTAAAGAAAAGTTGATTAATTTTATTAAAAATAAAATGTATTTTAAAATGTTTCTTACCTTCTCTATTGCATTGAATAATTAGATGTTTTCTTAAATTTTCAAACTCAAAAGCCCTTCTGTTGTTTGATAGTATTGTTTTAAATGCCGAAAACGAACGCTCGACATCTACGGATGTGATTGGCGCGTATTTAAAGTATACGATATCGTCGCTGGAGTAATCATCGGGAAATTTGCTGAAGTCAATCAACTCACTGCTATCTTCACCATCGAGTATTTTTGATATTTTCTCTAACACTCCAAGACCATTATTTTTTTCAAAAACTGTTTGAAGTTTAGTGAGAACTGGTTTTCCATGATTTCCTTTTAGCAAAGAAAATTTCTGTTGCACATTTTGAACCACAGCAAGTGAATCAGATAATAAAACATTTTTTTTTTGTAGTTCAATAATGGCTTTAATAAGAACTTGAAAATTACTTTTTATATAGGCTAAATTTGTTTCCAAACCCGGTTTTATAATGCATAGTTTTACTTTTCTAATGCTGTCAGCATCATTTTCGTCTAGGCAATTTACAACGTGACGAATTGCTCTGAAATTTTCGCAATAATAGATTGCAGCCTCAATCCAAGACCCCCAACGGGTAATAATTGGTTCAGGAGGTAATTTTATACCGGGAGCTTCTAATTTAAATATTTCAACGCGAGAAGGAGCTTTACGAAATATTTTTTTCATATTGGATATTAATTCATCAACTGTACCAAATTGTCCGCGAATTTGTTCGGCAATCCTGTGAAGGCCATGCGCACAACAAGTGACATGTATCATTTTTGTATAAAAGTTTTTTAGAACTGTGCCTGCTTTCACCATATATGGTGCGGCGTCTGATACAAATAATAATACGTTATTGTACTTTATATTACCTGGCCATATAATACCCATAGCTTTATCAAATAATTTACAGATAGTGGAATGATTTGCCTTATCTAATTGTTCCGAGTGCAGTAAAAATATACGACCTGGACAATCTGGTCTAAGAATTCCGACTATAACGTTGGCTATAAACCGTCCTTCAACATCACATGTCTCGTCAATTGAGACCCAAATTTTATTTTGCTGTATTTCCATTTTCATATTGTCCAAAGTAGAATTAAAAATATCGTCAATATAACCTTTTCTTAATGTAGCTTCCATTGGAATACTTTTACCAGTGTACTTCTCTAAAAATGTTCGAAATACATTGTTGGAAAGCTTATTTAATGGAATGTTCGCAGACACCATTGCTTGACATAAATCCATATTAAAATCTGATTTCACTGAATTTTGATTGGTTAAAAGTTGTTGGACTTTTCTCTCAGCTTGGTCATTTTTTCGTTTAACATTTTTTTGGTGCTTATCCGTTTTAATGTGCTGTGATACATTATACTTTTTTTCGAATTTAATTTTAATTTCACACATTTTACAATACAGAACATGACCATCGGTTGAAAAGTCTGTCCCATATTCAGATACGTATTTCTTTAACTTCTCTTTTGACATTATAAAAAAAAATAATAAACGCGGACACTAACTACGAGTTTCAACGAACACAACGACGCGATGACGTGACCTAAAGTCGACTAAATGCTTATTGTGTATAATGTGTTGATCACATCTCGATCGAAAAATAATCGAACCGATTAGTAGATAAGCAAACAAATGCGGGTCCCGGTGTTTATTACTAGGAAATATGATACAAAGTAGAAAAAATATTTTTAATTCTACCCTTACCGTGGAAAATAATAGAAACTAACTAAAACGTCTAGGTTTACGTGTCATAATTAAGAAAAACTGGTCAAAAAAGCAAAAATTATCAAAATAACTTGAAATAAGCATTTTTTTGAAAAATCGCTGAAAAAAGCAAAAAAAAGCACATTCAAATTTCATAATTGAACGTGTTGTAACATGCCATACACTTCTATAGCACTCTGCTACATTTTAAGTCAATCCATAAAAATAAGCAAATGCTTTAAGTCCCGAGCCCTGCTTATAACTCATAAACTAATTGCCCTAAATTCAATTTTTATGTATCGAAATACTCAGAAAAATATTCTGTTTTATAAATTGTTGAAATTAGTGACCACATAGATATATAATAATATGTTAATTATAGGTACACTAATATATTATTATTATTAAACATTTTTGTTAACTTTATTATTTGTGATTGTGTTCCGTATGATTTAAACAGTCGCGCAAATTACGAGTTAACGACACTATTTTTCTCACTTGGAGCGCTGCTATAGTAAAAAAAGTGAGATTCACTGTACTGGCTTTCTTATCACAAGTCGATGGGCAACCATACTATCTTAAATCGTGCTATACAATTATATTAAATTGTTTTCTAATATTATAAATTTTTTTATATTATCATAATATTATGAAATTACTTATTATAATCTCTTTAAATAGTTTAAAAAACTAAAATTACTGTAGCTGATTGTAAAGTTGTATTTAACATAATGTAAATGGTAATATCACGTTTTGCACTGATGAGAAGTTAGTTCCAATACATAAAGCGTAGGCAATAACACGTTTTGGCATAAACTTGGCAATACCACATTTTGATATGGCTCAAAATGTGGTAATAACACCTTATGCACTGAACAGCTGTTTTTCAATCGATTTTACTCATAGAAATAATCGATATTGTTTAATTTTGACCGCAAATTCGATATTACCCCATTTTTTCCATTCAGAATCGATGTCTAACTCGAATTTTCGAATTTTTGGCAATACCACCTTTTGCATTTCCACCCTTCAATTATCGTACTTCACTTGTACACAAAAAAAAAAATGGTGTGTCAAGGGAATCTCTCCCAGACTACACGTAAAAACTGTTGTACTTATCGTACGTACACACTTCAAAAAAAATTAAAATGTGCCAAGGTTGAGGTACCAGGGCACAAAAAATCAAAAAAAATGTCTCCGACCGTGGATAAGTAACCCCGTTGGGCGCCACTCTGTCGTACCACCCGTATTGGATAATACGTGGTAAACCTACTATACGCCTCACCCTCGTATTCTCTAGTTAATGACACTCTCTAAAATTAATTAGAATGGCACTGTTAACTTGGAGGTACGATGGTGTGCGTTTGTCAATCCTAAGAATGACTTAAATAATTGTAACTCGGGTTTTCAGGTCGGAAACACTTTTATTATATTTTAAAAACAAACACAAATAAAATACACTTGGCGAATTCAGATCGCCTAGCCCGTACTACGATCGACGTTTCACACGTGCGACCACAGTACCTACGTCCTCGCCGATTCACTCAGCGACAACGGGACTCCCCCGTGCCTGCGCGTGCGGCGGTGTTATATAGTAATCTTAAAGCTGTCTCAGCACATATGCTTCACTGATCTATGTCAATGGTTTACAATAAAAAGTTCCCACCTCTATTACATATATGAAATAATATTTAGACGACTGTCTACAATATACGACAGTAATATGGATTATGGAGGGGATCTGGTGCGACAGACAAGGTCAACAAAACGTAGCTTTAATGGTTAAATTAGCATAAATGTGTAATAGCACTAATAGGTTGACATAAATAGGTCAATTAATGAGGTTCAAAGCACAACAATTATCAATATGTTTAATGTTAGGTACCTTAAGTAGTTAGGTCGAACGGTATCAAATTTATCAGTTATAGCTTCTGGGCTTTACAAATGAAAATTGTCCAGCCGTACCGACTTTCAACCACCAATACTTTGAGAAGCTGTATCTCGCAAACCAATTAACAAATAATAAAAATGTCAAAGCGTAAATTCATAAAAAAATGGTTTTATTAATTCATGATCTTTTTATTATATTATGTTACCGTTTGAAAATCAAAAGTTGATAGTGGTTTCACCAATAAATATAAGGGTTAAAATAGTATACAATTTTAGAAAAGCATAAATCTAACAGTTTAAACAAAAAAAAAAATAAAAAAACTTAAAAATAAAGATACTTTTCGAAATAATTAGTGTACACACTTAAATGGATCACCCTGATATAGGTATATTTTTTTTTATAGAGTATAAACACATAAAATCAGAGTAATGAGACATATTATTATGAACACGACGATAATAGGTAATATTTTTTAAATAGAAACATAATTATATTATAATAACTGAACAATTATTCAACATTTGAATTTCAAAGATACAAATTAAAAAAGAACATTTTTATGAATTCCTAACACAAAATAATTTTCAAATTTTCTTGATTTTGAAGACTTGTCAAAATTCTTGAATTAGACTGTAATACAAAAATACTGTAGATTTACTCTCATCATTCTTTTAATTTAAACTAAATAACTTATGAGGCATTTTCAAGTCTGACGGAGCAAAAAATATTAGGTTCTGAAAGAACTGTATTGATTTTACAATGATGTGTATTTTTTTTTTTTTGTGTGTGTCTGTCATAATGTTTTGGGACAGAAAAGTGCTTCAATTTTAAAAACCCAGAGAGGTTTCTGGTAGAAAAGTGAATCTAGCTGGTGCTTTGGGTGGTCAAAAGATTAGGCTCTTGATGCGATGATTGATGCTGGCAAAGAAGAACCTGCGTTAGCTGTAATGGAAAATAATGTCAATGAAAAAGAAATTCCATTAATTACAGTGATAGCTGATGGCGCATGGTCGAAGAGATCTATACATTACATCATTGAAAAGGAAAACAAAAATTTTTACCAAACAAACATATTATAGTTTTCAATCTAAATCAATTATTTTAATTTTATCAATCAACCACAAAAAATTTTAAAGAAAATGAAATTGTCTGTTCTGGAGCCAAAATGTTGCAATTTTTTGCTACCTTGATAAGACACCAACTGATCGTAGTCGCCTATCCACATTTTTCCATCGTTTGATCAATTTCCCTTTAGCATGTGCTTGATGTGCACCTTCTGTTTTAGCCGGTATAAAGTAAACGCTCTAAAAATAATATATTGATTTATTTTACTAAAAATCAATTAAAAATAATGATAAAAAACATTTATACATTTTTTAATGTGAAGAAGTACTTTAATATTATAATATTTATACCTTTTGCTCCTTAGGAAATACTTCGACTATTAAATCGGCAATTTTTCTAAAATATAGATCAGTGCCTCTGTAATAACAAACAATAAAACGTATGATTATCTACCTTATACCTGTATTGTGGTCAAATGTATTTTTTCATTGCAAGTATAGTATTGTAAAAAATCATAGCCCATAGGCGTGTGCACACTCAAGTATTGGATTCAGCACAATATTTAGTATTATTTAATATGTACTAAATATTATAATCAAATAGAATCTTGTGTTGTACCGATTTTATTAACAGCAAAAAGATTTATAGCCCTAAGAAAATGTTTAAGTACAGAATCTGCTTCCTACTTATGCGGTGCACACGTCTATGTAAACTATATACACTCTAACCCTGATAAAAAATTATCCATTAACTAATTATTATGAAATATATTCTTACTTGCTATTGTCTTGAAATAAATGGTTTATTAAAAGTTGTGTGAGTAAATTCTGAAAATCGTCAGATAAAGACCCATCATTCAGTTCAGCATCAGCTAAAATATATTTCCCATCATTGGTTGTATGTATTAAATCTAATATTGTCTATAAACAAAATTTAAAGTCCTTAAAATATGTTATGTCTTTTTTGTATTTAAATAACATGTAAATAGTTTGATTATATATGAGCCTTTGAAAGTTATTCAAAATGTAAAATTACCTAATTAAGTTAATAAATTAATAGTACAAATTAGCTTATAATATTTTAATTGTGTTACATTTAAGTGTCTTAATAAATCTTAGATATAAGGTTTGACTTAAATTAAAATCTATTTTTAATTGATTTAATTAAAAAATCTGGAACTTATCTGAATTCAAATAATAAACTTACTTCATTCGTCCATTCCATTAGTTTATAAAAACCATATTTCCTATGTCCTAATGGCGATAGTTTTTTTTTTGAGCCGTTTTTATACGTTGATGTACTCGTTGAAGACGTAGATAAGATTGTATAATGATTATTTGAAATATCTTGGACTAAAGTACTTTCAAAATGTCCTCCAACAGACTGCTGTGTTACTGCAGTTGTCTGCGGTACCAAAGAATCCGGATATAGAAACTATATTACAGAAAACGATATGTTCGTTTAAGAACACCATTCAATTGCACTATAAAAATTGAATTCTTTAAAAACATATAGTTAATTTAACACGTACTTTTTCTTGAAACAAATCCATATTTGTATAATAAAAATTGACAAAAAAATAAATTCACAATATTTAATTGATCAAGAGACAAGAAGTACCAATGCTGTTAAGCGACTACAGCGAAGAACGCGGAGACGGTTATGAATTGGAGTTTGAAATAACACAAGTTATGTATGGCGCATACTGCACATTAGTCGTAATAAAACTATTAATACAAACAAACAAAAGAACACACACACACGAACGTCGAACGAGAGTTATCAATAGGTATCTTGGAAAATTTTGCGACGCGGCCACTGGAAGTTTGCGCTAAATTTAGACTTCCAATAAATTTTCCTTCTTTATCGTACGTCGTTTTAAAGTATAATGGGGTTGATTTAACATCATTGTAGTTATCAAATCCATTCTCTGTTATATTATGGTGGTCAAAATGGCATTCATGACTGTTGATTCGACCCAGATTTATTATTCGAATTAATAATATCAAAATGTCATATTAAAATATTTTTTTATTATTTTAAGTTAATTTTAGATAAATTTAAGAATAACGTATATTTAAAATAATATGAGTTATGAGTAATTTTAAACATTTGTGTTGTTACACTTAATAACTCAATTCAACATGCCATTGTCGTCATGTGTAATACAAATATTTCTTAATTTAACTTATTTATATTCAACATCTTAATTATTGCTAAATCAACACCAATATTTCTATGTGTGATGCATAATTTAATATACGAGTATGATAAATTAATTGGAGATGGAGATTCAAGTGTTATGAAGAAATTAACGCTTTCTAAACCTTATGCTGATTACGACATAGATGTAAAAAAAATAGAATGTATGAACCATATTTTAAGAAACTGTTGTAATAGAATTGTAAACATTTCAGCTCGCGGTAAAAGTTCTTCAGGAACTGTAGTCCCAGGGTTTTTAAGGAAAACATTAAATGATAGAAGGCTTAAATTAAGGTATATTAAGAATATACATAATTATACATAAGTAATAATAAAAAAAAATTAATTGTATATTATTTTATTATTATATTTCATTTTGAGAAAATTATGTTAGGTATTTAATATTTTAGATGCGCGGTTACAAAGGCAATATTTCATAGAAAAGAAATGCCTTTGTCGCATTATGAAATAGTGATTCTTCTAAAAAAAGATATTTTAAATAGTCCGTTTGGTAGCCATTCTGAATGCTCAAGGTAAATTATCATATAACCAACATTATTACTTATTATTCTATGATTATAACAGTTGTTATTTTTATTTAGTTATTTTTGCACTGGTCCAAAAGACAACGAAATTGATTTAGTTCCTCAAATGGAATCTTGTGGCTTATTGGCAGATATATCAGGAGCCAAAAATATTGTTGCCCATCATGCTCAAAGCTTAATTTACAATGTTAACAATAATGCTGCAGAAGGGCTTAATAGCGTAGTAGCGAAATTTGTTGGTGGAAAAAGGGTGAATTTTTCTTTACGAGGTAAAAGTTTAAATTGTTAGTAAAAGATATTTATACATATACTGTTGAACCCCCCAAAATCCGTGGATCCATGCCTCCTCAGAGGGTGAATTTGACTGGTGGCCCGGGTTATTACTTGGGGTACATGAGTTTTTAGCAGTATTCATCTTTTCGGTTTGCGGGTGTCCTTCCCTGCGTTTTAAGAACCTACCGCCAAGTTGAGCCCTGTTCCCTCTCGCGTACGTCGTTCTAAGCGTACGTTGAATTCGTTTTTGTCAGCCTGGTCGGGGTCTGTCCATTCCGTCCTTGACCTGGCACCTACGACCGGAGTTGTCAACCTTCGGAAGTTCGGTCCTCGGTGGACCGCAGATGGTGAAGTCCACGACCCGGCCTTGAACGCCCATGAACTGGTGAAGGTCCCCGGTCGCTCGTCCCAGCAAATGGTTGAAGCCTGTACGCCAGTCCTCGATGGCCCTCAGGCCCTGAGGCCGCGTTACGCCCGCGACGCCTGCTAGCCGAACGCCTGGTTTCTTTCACGAGTTTCTCCCAACCCGAGATATAGACTCGCCGCTAGCGAGCGCACGACTCGGCGTCACGTAACCGCTCAAGCGACGCCTGGGGCCCGTCACAACTGGTTTAACGGACCCGATTTTGAAAGCCTCTTAGCGGCCGAGCCCCCGCTCACACCACGATAAGGTGGGCCTTCATCTTCCCCACTCTATAATTAACAGTAGGTACGCCATAATGTCTAAAATACAATTTTAAAAATCTACTGTTATGTTATTTAATAATAGAAAATTTGAGAAAAAACAAAAATGTATTGCTGGACCAGATGAAGATTATGGAGCTGTAGACATTGGAATAGGTATGTCAGCCGAAGAATATGACGCCAAAAAAATTGCATTTTTAAAAAAAATTTGATTCATCCGTTGATGAAATAATAAAAAAAAAAGAAATACCGTTGGACAACAAGAGAATGACAATTGGAAAAAATTTAGAAAACAACGACTTACGACATCTAGTTTTGGAAAAGTTTGTAAATTAAGACCCACCACTTCGCGAGCGAATACCATAAAATATATATTATATGATATTTTCCAAGGAAGTTCTTCAACTAGGTTTGTGGTCTATTTATATTTTATTTATTTTACAATAGTAAATATTTAGGTATATAATTATTTTTATAAAAGGTTTTACTAAGGTATGGTATTGAAAACGAATCAATAGCCCGAAATGCGTTCCAAAAAACCATAAAGGAGAAAATCGAACCAGCGGGATTGTTTATTCATAAGAATAAACCCCATCTCGCAGCAAGTCCTGATGGGTTAATAGGTAAAGACTGTATTTTGGAGATAAAGTGTCCTCCGAGCATAAAAGAATATACTCCAGAAGAGGCAGTACATAAAAAAAATAAAGTACATGATATTCGATGGTGAAAAAATTAATTTAAAAAAACTAATAATTATTATTATCAAGTTCAAGCACAACTCAACATTAAAGAAAGGAACTACTGTTATTTTGTTGTGTGGACTCCAAAAGTAATAGTGTATGACATTTTTATACGTAGAATCTAAAATATTATAATTTAAGCT